AGAGAAGTTCCTTTTGATCGAGGATCTGCTCAAGATCAGACTAAAGTTGAGCTTCCAAATGGATGAGGAAATGGTTGTGATGGCGATCGAAACTCATTTATATGTCACGGAGTCTTTCCATTATAGCATTCTTGCGATGGACAATAGAGCCAAAAATAGTATGATTTTATATTTCAACCGTTTCACTAAACTTTTTAACCGAATCAATAAGAGAAAGAGTATCATCCCAGTTTTCATGGACAAATTGAAGAAAATTCTCATGAAGGAACCACCCTGAAAAATAATGAATCTACCTCTTTTTGTGACGTTTTGAAGATTGACCAATGAAGATAAGGAGGGATCGATGGTCAGATTTCATCTGAAAAAGATGAGAGATTCAAGTATCAGGAAAAGATTCAATCCAATGGTAATTACTTAAGGCTCGATCAAGACGAACTGCACAGTGTCCTTGATACCAAGTGAAGACTAGACCCTGATAACGGAGATCATGAAGGTTAGAATAAAAAATGGGTTTAGCAAAATGTTGATCAGTTTTGGCAATGACCTTGCACCCTTTCTTTTCATCAGGATACTGTTAGAGTATGCTTAAAGACCAATCATATAATGATTGTAATAATACTTTTATTTACTGATTTTATTGAATAAAGGCATTGCCACTATTATTTTCAGTTCTATATATGTGTTTAACATAAACTGGAAGATAATAAAGTCCATATAATGACATAATTGTTATTATTAAAACATCCCTAGTCAAGTATTATTATGGGCATGAACAATAATAATACGCTTAAGACTAACATGTTATTGATTGATGACAACGAGTTGTCATTGACATAGAGATGTCAGAATTGATACATGATTATATTGTTAGAGAACAATGTATTGGATTGACCCACCATGAGCATATGTCTTGGATTATTATGTGACAGTCATAACATTGCTCATGGTGATGACTATATGTATGATTCTCATACTTGAGATCAATATTATCCCAACATATATTGTTGTATGTTTTGATGCAGCTAAACAAGCTCCGTAACTGGTTGCTCTATAATGACTGTTATTGAATATATCTCAATATATGTAGTGGGTGTGTATGATTAATATAGGATTTGTCCTTCCAACATAATAGGAAATATATCACAGACCACTTGATTGAGTAAGACTAGAAACGCATGGCCATGCTCGAATAAGTTGATATGAGATATCATAAACTATTCGTTAATTAAAGTCTACTCTAGATATCAAGAAACAATAGATGGGCTATACAAGTGTGACTATTCCAAGACTTGTGCCTATTCTAGATATAAAGGGCATAAGGATGTAATACATAAAAGAGTTAATCATCAAGATAATATGTCGAATCATATTTTCTTGTAACTTAGGTGACAATGATATATTGCTAGATGTCACTCATTGTATGTAATATTAGAATTGTTCTAATAATTACTGCAAACGTTACAAGAACCTATAGGGTCACACCCTAGGATTGAAACGAGCAAAGATGTACAATTTGTTGTACGTTACTAAAATATATCTAGAGTTAATTAAATATATATTTTAATAATCCCGAATATTTAATTTCAATTAATTAAATATAGATTTAATTAATTTGAAATAGTAAAATCCCTAATATGATTAGGGTAACTTGGATATAAAAGAATTATTAAATTCTAATTAATTAAATATAGATTTAATTAATTTGAAATAATAAAAACCCTAATATAATTAAGGTAACTTGGCTATAAAAGGGTGTGTTAGGTCTAGTAGCCGTTTTGTGAGAACACACACAAAACCTTCAGCCATTTTTCTCTCAAAACGGTTTTGGGGAAAACAAAATTGCTCTCAATCGGGTGAACTGAGTAGAGGCCGAGATGTGATTTCGTGGAGGCTTACAATTCGAACCGATCTGCACCACCAGTATTCACTGTTGTCCTTTCTGTTTTTCAAGGAACCCGCTGTAAGTATTCGCATCACTTCCTCCCGATTTCAGTTTTTCGTACTTGGATCACTGGTAAGACCGTCGAGTTTTTGTTTCCGCTGCGTCATGGGGTGCGCCGATGGTCCCAACAGATACAGGGTTGCGTTGAAATCACCGAAAGCTATCCACGGCTCCGAAATGTTACTAGCGAGATCCCTTAAATAATTCAACAAAGAGGCCCTTTTGGCAACTTAAGGTAGATCAAAGTGATAAGGCAACAATGATTATCTATATTCTAAATTCTACAATGAATAAACTGGAAATGGCTAAATAAGACATCCACGTAAATGTTATCGAACCAGTCGAGCTAGATTCCCCCAATAAAATCATTGGCTTCAGCTCTGAAAGAATTTTGGATTTTAAGAGCTGCTATAGCTTTATCGACATTATTCAAGTTAATACAAGTCTCAATGAAACTCAGAACATCAAGTTTATTATCCTGCAAAAATTGGTGAGCAACACGGTTGAAGTTGCGATGGCTGCAACCTTAAAGATTTCACTTAAAAATCTTGAGATTCATAGAGAACAAGAAGACCACAAACAGTGGATTATTTAACCATGGCTTCTTGGCCACTATCAGATTTTTTCCATGTGTAGGCGATAGCTGGAATTTGTGAATGAATGCTATCATAAAGTTGAATGACTTGATGTTTTATCGATCAAGAAGAGCCAAGGAATCAACTTTGGGCGCAAGAGGGGTGCGAGAGCTCTAAGCGAAGGTGGTCTCAGATTTACGTCCTGACAAAGTACGTGACCCTGCATTGGAGCAAGACTAATTACATGTTGACTTTTAAAATTTTTATTGAGCATAATACATGTCTTTTAATAACCCGTGTGCAAGGAAGGTTTCTTGGGAATAGAAGACACTTTCTCTTTTAGTCTTGGTTTTGGTTTGATGAGCATTAATGAGACCGATATTGACTTACGCAGGATTCAAATGTGAAATTTGCTCTTGGATAACATCATTAGAATCCTTAAAAGGTAATTACAAATTAGTGATAACCAACTGATTTGAGGGGCCGTTTCAAAGACAATATTATTTTTTGAGACAATAGACATAGCAATTTTTTTTTTTTTTTTGAGGAACTTAGCAATCTTATTTGCGTGATTAGCGGATAAATTAGCACATGATGATTGTTTTTTCCGTCTCACTAACATTCAGAGGCCGAAAGGATCAGAAGACGTTGCATTTTTCAGCAAAGGAGTTTCTAGTTCTCTGTTCTCTCGTTCCATGGGTTCTGGGGCATTTTGTGCTTGTAGCTTCGGACAAATATATTTAAGGTGACCATAAATTCCACAATGGAAGCAAACCGCTGGGAGAAATTCTTACTCAATAAGCTGGAGGCGATCATTGATGATAAGCTTTGAGATTAATAGTTTTAGAAGGTAGATGTTAACTGTCATACGAGCAAATCGGTCTCGATAGCCATTATCCGTTTGGAAGTCCATTTTGATGACAGATCGAATTTGAGTACCGATAGCTTCAATAAAACTACCTTTATAAAGGGTGACTGGAAGTCCGTTTGGAAGTCAAAGGACTAAGGTTCAACTGGGATATAGTGAGCAAAGATAGTCCAAGAACCTTTGGTTAAAACTTTAAAATAATCTCCACGATCACAGAACTTAACCAGGAAAAATCATCTCTTTGTCTATCAACTTGAGAGGATGCGTCGGTTTCAATATGTTGTGCATTTGATTTTGGAGTGTGTTGTAACCAACACGTCGTGTTAGGGCTTTGACAATAAGGGTGAGTTTCATGCTTTTGATGGCTAGGGACTGAACTCTATTAGAGAAGTCTATGGTAAGAATGTCTTTCGACAGAGCAATGATAATATCATTATCAAGAAGATCAATATCATCGTTATCTAAATCAAAACTTTTCCCAGAATGGGCAGATTCATTGGAGCCAGTAATGATGTCCTTATATGCTTTTTCTTATCTATTTTATTCTAATATTTATATTTTCATTTTATCTACTTTAACTATTTTTATTAGTCATTAGAGTTTACAACGTATTAAAATAATTAAATTTACAAAACAGATTCTAAGTTAAATTCTTAAATTGATTGTTTATACTATCAAATGCCAACAGAGAGCATTAATCACTTCTATCTTTTGTATTCAGCACTCATTTTTTTAACTTAAACAAGATAGATTCAAAGAACTGGAGTCTGTTAAGAAAAATTACTTTTAGAGTTATAAATGAATCGAGTCGAGTTTGAGTATTATTTAACTGGATTCGAATGGAAAAGTTTAAAATTAAGCTTAAATCAATTGGAAAACTCATACTCTTAAAATTGTCAATCTCAACTTAAATTCGATATAAAAAATTAAAGCTCGACTTGATTTGAAAGCTTACAAACTAAAAATTTTGAAGCTCAATTCAAACTTACTATTAATCGAATAAAACCATTTAGTTTGAATGTTAATTAAACATTAATTGAATAAATTTAAATAACTCTAATATGTCAGGTCTTATTTTCTGCCCCTCCTTGGATTCGACTCTATGATCGTAGCAAACGAGATTGTGATAAATGGGCCAAAATTAACTAAGCCCAAACTAGCAATGCCGAAGAGGTGTGCTTCAAGCTTAATATTAATAAAAAACCTGAAACCCTCTTGAACTAAGTGGCGGCGCTGTCTCTGTAGAAGAACATCAAAGTGGATATTAAGAAGCCATTTCAGCATGAGAGCTAAGGTGAAAGCTTCAATTTTTGAGCTATTACTTTCTTTTTGGATTGATTGAATTGCTGATTTGGGTTATTCGTTTGTGGGAAATTTGCAGTGGAAGAAGAAGCGTATGAGGAGGTTGAAGAGGAAGAGAAGAAAGATGAGGCAAAGATCTAAGTAGTTTCATTCCTATTTGCAACTAGTAAAGTGGATACATTTTCTGGATGGCTACTTTTTGTTCAACCATTTTCATATTGCGAGTTTTCATTCTTTTATTAAATATTTTCGCTTTTTCATGTCAACATTTTGATGTGTTGTGCAATAACAAACTAAAAAAATAGACAAAGGAAAAACAAATTAAAAGAGAGGGATTGTTCGTTTTGTAACATTCACTTTCATTACTTTCGATCAGCTACTATTCTATCAATGTATCTCCTAACCTCCTCTTTAATCATACGTTGAATGATGTTCAACAAGCAAGTTGTTTCTTCCATAGTTGCCGCTCTCTTTTTCTCTTCTCCGCCTTCACCGCCTTCCTCACTTTTCGCCACCACCACAACCTCCTTTCGCTCCTCCTCCTCCGCCGCCACGCTCTCTCCTGGTGGAGACAGCGTCAGCAACGTCTTCGGCCCCAACAACCCTACCTCATGCTCGCGCATCATCAATCCTAAACACTGCTTTTTATTCCCCGACTCAGACAAGGACGCGTCCAAGCTTGGCCGTTTCACGCCGGAGATCGACTCCCGTGAACCGGACGACAACTCGGTTTTTTGTTTCCGATTCAAAGTCGAGTTCCAATGATTTTTTATCGCGTTATCGGTACGTCCCGGCAACAGCCTAGCAATTGTAGCCCATTTATTCCCATGAACAGCATGCGCTTGAATAATAACAGCATCCTCTGCAGCTGTAAAAGGACGGTGTTGCACGGCGGGACTGAGCTGATTGCACCACCTTAGCCGGCAAGACTTGCCGGATCTTCCAGGGATTGCGGAGCTTATCATAGACCAGTTCCTGGGACCATGTTGTTCCACTAGCTTGATCAGGTTAGCATCTTCTTGTGGGCTCCATGAACCTTTGACACGATCACGGTCATTGATCATCTTCAACAATGAACGAAAAAAAAAAACTCAAAATCCAAAATGAAAGCGTGATATTTTGAGAAGAGAAACAGGGTTTTAATATTAAACGGTGGTTGTTGGTTGAGTGAGCCGCTCCGTTGAAATAACGACTTTGGGGCTTTGTTTATGGGCGTTAGTTTCAGTTTCTCTCTTGATATTTAATTTAATAATAAATAAACTGTTTTTTAATTAATAAATCAGTTCAGTTGAGTTTGTTGTTTTCATGGATAGAGTTGGTTTGGAAGTGGAAAGGAAGTTATAACTGCCTCTTTTTCAAAAAACAGAAATAAATGAATAACTTACTTTTCAAATTATTTAAGAAAAGAGATACATGATAATGATTTTAAGAAATAAAGATATACAATCAGCTTAGATTAATGAAAGAAACAAGGATATGAAGTTATTTCACAAAAGACCGAAGGATTATTAATCCAAAAGGGACAAGTAACGGAAAGACGTATGAATAAACAATCTCAATGGCTAAGGAGATAGTTGTTATCTCTAAAACTTTCGAGTTTAAACACTTTGTATATACTAGTGTTTGAATATTTATCAAATGATTATGAATCTTTCAGGTAAATATTATCTTATAATCATCATATACTAATAAAAACATATGATTTTAGACAGCTGGATTTAGTCAATTTTAAATCCTTAAAATTTGTAGACTGTCAGATGAGTTGAGTGGGAATCTCTTTAATGTTAAAACCCATTCTTCATTTTTTTTCCCTTGAAGTTAACCGAAACAAGGAGGGAAAGAGGTGAGAGCTTCATCAAAATTATATAGGAAATTTGACGGCTTTCTTGATCAATTTTAATAATCCCTACTACCCAAATATTAGTGAGCTTAGTTAAGAGGAAAGTGTAATTACGGGGGACTTTGGGTAGCTGTCGCGAGGCTGAAGGAACAGTGCAAATTAAGTTTTCAAATTAGTATTTATGGAATTTGAGTGGTTCAATTAGGTGTAAATTGTGAAAAATTATGGTTAAAGTGATTTGGAGACGCGGTTAAATTTTAGCACTATATTCCATCTTCGGGCAATGGTTAATCTGAGAGAGTTATTTAAATCCTTGAAGATATATTACGTGCTTGTGTGATAGAATTTGATATTTCATGAGAAAAGTACTTATCGTTAGTCAAGTTTGCGCACAACAATAACTACGAATCGAGTATCAACATGGTCCCATATTAGATTTGTATGGTATAAGATGTTGAATTCCTTTGCATTTGTTCGAATTCCGTTATCACCAAGTAATCGACCCCTATTTGGTTAGGGATGGATTCCAAAAACGAGGTGAAGGTTATTCAAAGCAATCTCAAGATGACTTTTGACAGACAAAAATCGTACTTCGGTTTGAAGAAAAAAGATATTCAGTATGTGGTTGGAGAAAAAAGTATTTCTTAAAGTTTCATTGTAAAAGAAAGTATTTCAATTTAAAAGGGAAAAAAACTCAGTCTCCGATTTATTGACCCTTATGAGATCTTGAATAGAGTTGACCCATTAAATTATAAGTTAGTAATAGCTCTGAAGTTGGCTAGAATCCATAATTTTTTTTTTCATATATCTATCCTAAGAAGGTATCATTCAAATCCTTCACATATTTTAACTCCAGATGTTATAGAAATTCAACCGAATTCAAGTTACGAGGAGGAGCTAGTAAGAATCCTTGAATATGATATCAAAGAATTGATGAACAAATCAATTTCGTTGGTGAAAGTTCTATAGAGGAATCACAAAGTTGAAAAAACAATATGAGAAACCAAGGAAACTATGTAAAGCTCAAATCTCGGGTTACTAGTATTATGATAACCCAAGAGGGTTTTGGATAAACTCATTAGCCTTGTAGGAAATCTTGGTCCAAGTTTCTTTTGGTTTGAGCTTGAGTTAAGCCCAAATAGAGATAAAAAGGATATTTTTGAGTTGGGGGAAAGTTTGAGAGACGACGGAGATAATTATACCTTTGGGAATTATAAAGGATGTTTTCCCATTAAATTGATGATGTAATCAACAAAGGGAGAGATGAAAATAGGTTGTCCATCTCTCTCATTTTTCTACACACCTATTTATCTTCTTTCATTTTTTTCTTGACCTTCTTCTTCAAGTTGAGTGACAAAGGAAGCACATTTATCCTCTCATCTTCTTAGCCCGAAATTCTAAGATAAGTGTTGTAATCTTCATCCTTAGAGCTTTCTATTAAGCTTTTTTTCTCCCTAGTTGGCCATGGCAGTCATAAGTGGGGGTTTAGAAACCCTTGCTAAACTAGCTCATATTTTTGTAGTTTTGAGTCTTAAGAAACCTTCTTCACTTTTTTCTAAGCTCATAAGTGAATTAGTAACTCATTTACTTGTCTTATGATTAGTGAAAGAGGTTGGGGAAAGTTCCAAGACCAAGTGCAACGAGAAGCTTAGACTTGGTTGAGTTATGGTTGTTTTCCAGCATCTTAGGAGTAATGTAACATATTTATATATATACCACTTGTAAGTTATTATGTGTGTTGGTTAGATTGTAATATAAGTGCATTCATGGTAGAATATGACTTTTGATGTTATGAAGCTTGATAAATGATTTATTTTGATCCTTTTAATCTTACATAAGGTTTGAATAAAGTTTAAATGTCTTAGAGGGGCTTAGGGATAGAGTTGGAGAGACATTTCGTGTAAAATATAGTATTTTTGATTTTAAGTATCGGTACTGAATAAACTATACCAATAATACTCTTCAGATATCTAAACCAAAAGGATTTAGTTGGGTAGTATCGATATTTTTCATTGGCTATCGATACCCAAGGGTAAGGTATGGTATCATTGTTAAATTAAAATTCTAGTAGCCAAATTTGATAACGAAACTCAGGGAGTATTAATACCACACAAAGAAGAAGTATCAATACACTAAAGAAGGGTATTGATACTAATTATTTTCTCCAAACATCAAATCCAAAATCTATATCTATACCCAGGATGATATAAGTACCCTAACAAAGAAGTATCAATACTCCATATAGGAGTATTGATACTAAAGGGTTTCCTTAAAAAATTGAATGAAAAAATGGTATCAGTACCAAGAGTAAGTATCGATACCCAAGGGTTAGTTTTGATATTGGAAGACTTAGTATCACTACCATCGGACCGATTTTGGCAAGAATTCTGAAATTCTTGTCGAAACATAAAACAATTAGTATTAAAGGATATAAACAGATGGAAAAGTATTGTTGAGGCAAGAAATATTGTGAAATATGTTGTGCATAAAAGTTTGGTTGAGGCAAGGAAAATTTGCAAGAGTAAACAAATAAATGGAAATTAAGAACAAATGAAGAAACAATCCTAAACAGAGCTCTGTCGTGACATTCTGACCACCACCATGCCTGCTCCAGTGGCCAGCCTCTCTCGAGGCCCTGACCGTTGCTCCAATGAAGCCTGACTATGGAGTGAACCAAGGACGGTCGAGTGGGGGAACGGTGGAAAATAAGGTGATGTAGTCTCTTACTCCAAGCCTAGGGTATAACCTCTCCTTGATTGTCTCTCTTTTTGGAGAACTATAATGAGGTATTTATAGTGGGAATTACTACGGTTTTGTGTCCTTGGAAATTCCCTAAATACCCTCGTTGACTTACCTATTTTATGAATGATATAACAGCTGGAAGTGGTCAATTTCCTTGAGGAGGGCATGATTGTACGTGAGGATAAAGCTGGGAAAATGATGTCAGCAGTTGTTGAGCCACGACGGATCTGCAAAATAAATCTTGCCTCGGTAAAAAATTATGTTCCTCACTGTCATCTTCTTATGTTCCTCTAACCCCGGGAAATTGTTTTGTCTCGACAAATAAATTCTTCCTTAGTTATTTCCTACATCAACACAACCAACAATGAACCTTTCTCCTCAGCAACATCAGTTAAGCCAAATAAATCTTGCCTAGGTAAAACTTATCCACCACATACAAATATGACCTAAATGCAACTAAAATGTTATGACAAATGACTTTTAGACACACAATAACTTAAGTAAAAAGACAGAAAACATAGTCTTTTTACAGAATTATCAGTAACTGTCTTAAAACCCCTTAAAAAGCACGTAAGAATTTTTTCACAACTTTTTTGACATCAAAGAGCCCTGCACGCACCCCCACGCGACGTCGCTGCACGTGGGGAAGTCCCACCGCTTGGTGGGCTATTTGAATTTGGGCTGACCCGACCCATCTTCCCGAATCAACCCACCTGTCCGACTCGACCCGACCCAGTCCAACCTGAACTGGTCAGTTGTTCACCGTTAACCGTTGATTGACCATTGACCGACGTTGACTTTTTTCAAAAACCTCTATCTTGATGTTTTGACGTCTTGAGTCCGATTTCGCGATATGTTTTGCCAAATTTCTAACCCGAAAGCCTCGAATCGAGCCCATTAATCCAAAAATGCTTAATATTTTCAGCATTTTTTCTTATTTATTTGGGATTTGATTATGGAATTGATTCAATAATATATATTTATGAAGGTACTCTTTTTTCACTCGACCGAGGGTCGATTAGATCCGGTGCTTCCCATCCGTCAGATTCGAACGATATGCGTTCCTCGAAAGTTACTCGTAGGTTTATGTAAATTGTTTAAATAATGGTTATTATTATTCATATTAGGATTCCGATATGGATTTTATGATTCATAGGATCTAGCACTGCCGTTGATCGAGATCGATAGACTCAGTAGTAGTCTTTCTTATCAGACTACTCAGACTGGTACATGTGTGTTTCTTGATGATGTTACATTACTGTTTTAAACTATTCATCTGAACTGTTTAGATTTCTGATAGTATTGAATATTTTTACAACATGATACCTGATATTTCTGAATATTGTTTATATGATATATGATTTACTGTACATTTCTGATATGATCTCTAATTTTTGTATTTCTGTATCTAATTTCTGAGTCTAGAATATTTTCATCTTTTAATGGATTAAACTACTATTTTCACTCAAATACATACATGTTTATTACTATCATTGGGGGTACTATTGGAGGAAGTATATCAGGCCTAGTATATGACTTGTATG